ATCTGACTCTGAACTGGATATATATATATATATTTATACATGTGTGTCTTGTTCTAGCATCTCCTGTACCAACATCTGACTCTGAACTGGATATATATATATATATTTATACATGTGCGTCTTGTTCTAGCATCTCCTGTACCAACATCTGACTCTGAACTGGATATATATATATATATATATATTTGTCTTGTTCTATACATGTCTGTGTCTTGTTGTTCTAGCATCTCCTGTACCAACATCTGACTCTGAACTGGATATATATATACTTTATACATGTGTGTCTTGAGCATCTCCTGTACCAACATGGAACTGGATATATATATATATATTTATACATGTGTGTCTTGTTCTAGCATCTCCTGTACCAACATCTGACTCTGAACTGCATATATATATATATATTTATACATGTGTGTCTTGTTCTAGCATCTCCTGTACCAACATCTGACTCTGAACTGGATATATATATATATATTTATACATGTGTGTCTTGTTCTAGCATCTCCTGTACCAACATCTGACTCTGAACTGCATATATATATATATATTTATACATGTGTGTCTTGTTCTAGCATCTCCTGTACCAACATCTGACTCTGAACTGGATATATATATATATATATTTATACATGTGTGTCTTGTTCTAGCATCTCCTGTACCAACATCTGACTCTGAACTGGATATATATATATATATTTATACATGTGTGTCTTGTTCTAGCATCTCCTGTACCAACATCTGACTCTGAACCGCATATATATATATTTATTTATACATGTGTGTCTTGTTCTAGCATCTCCTGTACCAACATCTGACTCTGAACTGGATATATATATATATATATTTATACATGTGTGTCTTGTTCTAGCATCTCCTGTACCAACATCTGACTCTGAACTGGATATATATATATATATATTTATACATGTGTGTCTTGTTCTAGCATCTCCTGTACCAACATCTGACTCTGAACTGGATATATATATATTTATACATGTGTATGTTTGTTTATTGGACGCATCAACATCATGGCATATGGGTGTAACCTTTCCGTGATCCGTTCTACATCTAACTCAAGCCTGAGCCTAAAGAATCTCAGCGCAGTGCACAAACTCTGTTGCACCCGTAAGGTTCCTGAAATACTTTGGGTAGATTTTAAACTCCAAATAAAGATAAATATATATAATATATGTGTACGTACGTACGTACGTACGTACGTGTACACACACACACACACACACACACACGCACGCACGCACGCACGCACGCACACACACACACACACGCACAGATATATATATATATATATATATATATATATATATATATACAGTATATATATATATATACTGTTATATGAAAGTTAGCATAGAACAGTTTGTTTTTTGATTATCAAATTCTTAATCTTCTGCTCTCACCCTTTAAAATAGCAACTGACATGTTTTATTGTGGTTCTCAGCTAGGCAATCTTTTTCTTCTTAGTGTTCACCAGCTGTACACTCCAGAGCAAAGTTCTGGTTGTTCACCCACATCTGGACTTCAGTGTTGAGCCAGAAGTTGAGTCTTCTGTGCACATCTGTTTTACAGATCTGGCTTATTTGTATGCAGACTGTTGGATATTTCCTCTGAGGCAGACACACTCACACCCCTATTTAGTCCCCTCCTATGACAATCTTAGTGCCAGATAAAAAAAAAAAAAAAAACATGTTCTTGGCTCCCAGGTCGACCCAGCTTTAATGGGTACCAGACAGAGATCTGGGAAGTAAAGGTGGCTGGCTTGATGTTGAGCCCATCACCTAGCCCCACATGTCCGATGCATCACTGGCATGTAAAGGGACCTTTACTTTTTACTTAGGACATGCTTGTTATGGGGGCTGTGTGTCTATTGTTTTTGGTTCTCCAAAATGAATCCCTGGACCCACACGGAGAAGCTAGGCTGTGATATCGCAACCAATTTCTGCAAATTCCCAGTTAGTAGCCTTTTATGACATGCTTGTTAACTCTTTCATTACAACTGACCATATTGTTTTATCTACCCAAAGGTTTCAGAAGACAGAAAAGGCTATAATGCAGTGACAAACAAAGAATAGCTAGGAGTTAAACTGAGTTAAGAACTGACACCACAGCACTTGGGACACCCTTAAGAACTGATATCACAGCAAACTCCCTTAACTCTTTCAGTCCCGGGGGTTTAGCATAAGAGGTCGAGATGATGGTAAAAAGAAAGGTAAAATCGGCACATCTTGCATTCATTGTGCTTCTAGGTAAGAACCTATGAATGTATGTCTTCCCTGCGATTAAAAGAGTTAAGAAAGAACATTGCAGCACTCAGGACACTCCTTTTTTTTCAAATTCAGCGCAGAGTTCCAATTTCAATAGTACCAGTAGCAATTTGATTGTATGTCCATCTTGCCTTTCCTGTTAGTATCAGCCAGATCTCCTGGTCACTCTCAGTGGCCCCCATTCTCACCTGCTGACCGTGATGATCTGTTTGTGCTTACACACTGTCCACCTGCTCCAAAAGGGCTGTGGAATAACTGGCAACAAGAAGGCAGTTGAAAAGAAATTGTTTACCCAGTTCTATCTTTTCCAGACATAGCCTCAGATGCAACACTTTCTAGCCTTTGCAAGACTTGACTCTTCAAGGCCTTGACTGAAATAGAAAGGCAGTTTTCATCATTATCATCAACTTCCATTTCTGCTGTTAAGCATCAGGAGGAGAAAGTTTTCAATCCATTGCTAGATAGGCAGCAATGACTACTGTCATTCCTTATTCATGTAGAATCTCTTTAATGTCATCAATCAATGTTCTCCTAGGGTGACCTCTTGCTCTTACCTCAGATCTTCTCATGTGGAGTTCCTGCGTTGGTATTTGCTGAACCATGTTCCCAGTCTGTCTGATAATATCATTTCTAATTTTGTCTCTTATAGTAAAGTTAGCGGCTTTTCTCAGGCATCTAATTTCACAGATGTTAATTTTATCTAGGTTAGCCTTTGATAATGTCAAAGTCTGACACTGGTAACACAGTACTAGTATGAAATATACTGTTTTTTGGTGCTCGTATTTACATTTGGGTGTCTGAATAATGGTGTCAGTTGGTTTATAAATGCACTGCAGTGGTGGCATGTTGTTTCTTTTGCCTTATATATTATCCCATCGTCTGAGAAAATACTTCATGTTAGTGAAAAATATTTATACATAAATAAGTACAAACATTCATGACACAGGCATTAATAAGGTTTGGTAATCTTATATCTTTATAAATATTTTTTTGTTTATCTTTACTTAAAAGAGAGCTGCCATGGAGTAGTGGCTAGGCGCTAGCCTGCAGATCCAAAGTTCGTGGGTTCAAACCCGTACAGAGCCATATTTTTTCATACATGACCTTGGCTGCAAGGTTATCCCAGCCTTAAATGGGTATCAGATAAAGTCCTGGGAAGTAAAGGCGGCTGGTGTGATGTTAACCACACCAGCCATTGAGAGCCAATTATGAGCCTACCTGGATATGCCCAATGCACCACTGGCAAATAAAGGGACCTTTTTATCTTTATAACACACACACATACATATACACACACATGAATCCTGTTCTTTATTTTTAAGTAAGTCCAATTTTGACCGCACCGACAAACACTAATGGAAAATGTACATGTGCATATTCAGTATATTTATGTGGTTCATTAGCTAGCTGTGTGCTTTTTTTCACTGTTGAAATCTTGTTTGATGCTGCGTGTGAGTGATCTATAATAAGTGCAAAAATAAATACTTCCGCCAGCTGCGATGTTCGTGCTGTGATCCATTTTTTGCTAGCAAAAGACAACAGTGTTGCAGAAATTCACAGGCAACTCATTGAGGTTTATGGGGCCGATGTTATGACTGATGGCATTGTTAGGAATGGTGTCGAATGTTTAAAAAAAACAGGAAAATATCTATGGTGAAGATCATAGCAGTCGGCTGAGTGTGGTGACAGATGATTCGGTCAAAGAGGTGAACTAACAAATTCAGCAAAATTGTTTAACAATTTTTGTGTTGTCCTTCGAATTTTAAGAAGTTTAACATTCACTGATTTACGACATTGTGACAAGAAACCTTGGATACAAAAAAATCGAATCAAAGCAACAGTTGATGCAATAGTGACACTCATGGTCCCTGAAAGCAAAGAAATTGAAGCAAGCACCTTCTGTCAAAAAGATCATGGCCACTGTTTTCTGGGACAAAAAAGGGGACTTGTTTATTGATTTTCTTGAATGTGGAAAGATATTTAATGCCAAAGCTTATTTTAACACTCTGATAAAACTTAGAAGTGCCATCTGAAACAAAAGAAATGTGTTGCTGTCCTCTGGAATTCTGCTTTTCCATAATGATGTTCAACCTCACATTGCAGATGGAACTATTCATTTGTTGCAAACATTTCACTTGGAAATTGTTGACCTCTATGATGGTTTTCTTTTAAAATTGTATACCAGGACTTCTAAAAAAATGTGCCTCGTATACATATATACACACACATATACATATATATTTATCTCTATCTTATATCTTTATGTTGTATTTAGCATGTTATACAAACACAGCATGATTAGTACTGAGGTAGACTGACAAAACCTGTTTAAGTGTTACATATGTACATAATAAATATACGAGTACACATACAAGTGGAAAAGTACTAGTATATCACGCATGCACATGTAAAACAGAGAGACTTTGAAGAACACTGGGACAAATGGAAAGATCAGCGGTAAAAGAGGCATGGAAAAGCCAAAAGAAATTATGCCAGATGGGTAAAGATTTTAATGAAGATAATCTTAACCAATAAAACTGGTCCAGAACAATAAGGACTGAGATACTGTGGATAGACTTGAACATCTAAACATTGTGCCATCATATTTAAATTATTAGAATGACAGTAATTTGATGTCACATAAAACAAGTCACTTACTGTCTGGATCCTCATCCATTTCTTCATCTGCATCAGTTTCAGTTTCTTGCTGGAAATATTCCTTGAGAAAACTGGCAAACGCACCATCATGTGACATCAGCTCATCATACGATCCTGTCTCAGAGATCTGACCATTGGTCAAAACTATGATGTGGTCAACCATTGGTAGCCAATGAATACCATGAGTAACCAATACACGTGTCTGGAGGTAAGGAAAAAGTACAGAATAACATAGCAACATGCTTGGCTAATTCTAGACAAAAACTTATCTGACATCCTGAAAACAGGCAAGTTTCAGTACAAACAGATAGTTATGGATGAGAGTTTTGAGTTCCTGGCACCAGGCTTTGTCCTATATGATGTGGTTTCTCTATGCAGAGTGGCTGATCATTCACAAAAGCATTGAGCTCTTAGATCCAGCCATGACCCAGAGTGATGTCTGAAACTCCTGAGCTTGCAAATCCAAAACCTTCAGAGAATAAGGCAAGTGGCTTAACCACTTTGCCACTGAGATTTCTTGAGATTTAAGTCATAGGCTTTGTCCACACTTTTAGGAGCTTGCTCTGATCACGTGTCTCTTCCAAATGAAGCAAAATCTTCTTTTTAAATATTTATCAAGTAAGAAAATTCAAGAACTCAAAAACTGTGAAAGGATTTTGGACAATATCAGATAGAATACTATTAGTAAAAGTTTGCGGTAGACCGTTTGACATCAACTTAGTACAGATTTATGCCCCAACAGCAGATAGTTCAGAGGAAGATATTGATGCATTTTATGACAAGTTAGACATGGCTGTTGATCTATGCAAAAATTGTTAAGTAACAATCATTGTTACTTGGAGATTTCAAGGTGAAAATAGGAAGTGAAAAAGTGTACGGAATAACGGGTGGCTATGGCTTAGGAAAAAAAGAATGTGAGAGGTGACAGATTATTAGCATGGACTGACTCGTGCAGCATGATAATAGGTAACACCTGGTTTAAACACCCTCCTCGAAGATTTTGGACTTGGAAAAGTCCTGGTGATAATCTCCGCAAACAGATTGATTATATTTTGATTTCAAGAAGATTCCGGAGCAGTTTCGTTGGAGCAAAAACTAGACCAGGAGCAGATTGCTTTAGTGACCATGTTCCAGTTGTAGGAAAAATTAGAATAAAGCTAAAGAACATTAGAAAAACACCACAGAACATCAAGTTAAATTCAGGAATTCTTAGAACGGAAAAAGAAATTAAGGACCAGTACAATGTCACTGTACAAAACAGGTATAATGCAATGGAAATTATACAGACTATTGATGAACAGTGGGATATGTTGCGTGAGTCAATTCAGCAGACATCTAAAGAGACAATCCTACCAACCCATAGAGTTGCAAAAAAGAAATGGATGTCAACCGAAATTCTGCAGTTGATGGATGAAAGAAGGAAGAAAAAGAATGATAAAGAAGAATACTCTAGAATACAAAAAGAAATAGTGAACAAATGCAAAGTGGCTAAAGAAGCCTGGCTGAATCAAATGTGTATAGAGATTGGGGAAAATCACAGGAAAGACTCACATTCCATGTACCAACAGATAGATATGTTATGAGGAAAGATGACAAGTAACAGCACTTGATGTTTGAAATTAAAAGATGGTGACTTATTAATGGGACATAGTAATATAATTAACAGATGGACATAATATATAGGGGAATTGTATGATGATAATAGACCAGATGTAGAACTGCAGACCAACAATGATGGTCCACCAATAATGACTGGAGAAGTTGAGGATGCTATACATCATATGAAGAAAGGAAAAGCACCGGGGCCAGACAACATCTCACTGGAAGAAATTGAAGCACTGGGAGATTTTAGAATTGAAATAATAACTAAACTTTTAAATGATATTTATAATAGTGGGTATATTCCAAATGACCTTTTAAAATGCATATTTATGGCTCTGCCTAAGAAACCAGGCACTATAAAATGTGAAGACCATCGCACAATAAGTCTTATGAGTCACATGACTAAGATTTTACTGAGAAGAATTATGAGAAGAATAAGAAACAAAATTAAACCAGAAAACAGCGATGAACAATGTGGATTTGTAGAAGGAAAAGGTACAAACAATGCCATTTACATCCTAAGGACATTGTCAGAAAGAGCTAAAGAAGAAAAGACTGATTTGTACTTATGCTTCATAGACTATACAAAAGCATTTGACTGTGTGAAGCATGAAGAAGTAATCAAACTGTTAGAAAAATTAAACATTGATGGGAAAGATAAACGAATAATAAAGAATATGTATTGGCAGCAGCAGCTATAAGAATTAACAACTGTTCAGGTACATTTCAAAGCATAAAGAGAGGCGTACGATAAGGATGTGTAGTGTCCCCTGATTTGATTTCAATATACAATGAATATATAATGAGATCTTTAATTGATATGCCCGGAATTGTGGTTGGTGGGCACAATATAAACAATTTACGTTATGCTGATGACACAGTCTTGATAGCAACAAGTCAGAAAGAACTACAGGAAATGATAGACATTGTGGTTTAGAAAGTGGAAGAATGGGCCTCAGTTTGAATAATGGGAAGACAGAAGTAATGGTGGTATCAAAGAAATTAATTATTCCTAAATGTGTAATAAAAGTCGATGGTGTTATTTTAGGACAAGTACAGAAATTTAAGTTTCTGGGCACATGGATAACATCAGATGGAAGATGCATAACTGAGATAAGAAACAGAATAGGACAGGCCAAAACTGCATTTTATAAAATGAAAAACATCTTGTGCAATATATCCTTGTCATTGAGAGTTAGAAAAAGAATTCTTGCTTGCTACATACATCCAGTTTTAACATATGGCTGTGAATCCTGGACAATCGGTAGGCAGGCCAAACAATTTCTAGAGGCCTCTGAGATGTGGTTTTACAGAAGAATGCTTAGAATACCTTGGACAGCCAAAAAGAGCAACCAAGAGGTTTTGAAAGAGGCAGGAGCCCGAAGACAACTCATCACAAACATCAGAAGGAGACAGACTGGAAAGATCTGTGGAAGGAGGGATAGAGGAAGACAACGAGAGAAGATGCTTAACAGTCTTGCTGTATGGCATGAAGGTGTGTCGGCCCACGAACTGATACATGCTGCAGGAGATCGCAGATTATGGAGAGGCATGATTGCCTATGTCAGTCGGCAAGGCACCTGATGATGACAAGTAAGAAAATATACATCATTAAATCCAAAAAATTACCAGATTGGGTTCCAGGACCCCAGTGTGGGGGGGAGAGGAACAAGAATGGCCTCCCTGCCTCCTTAACAATTAGGGGTTTCCTTCTAAGTCAGAGAGGCAAGAAACCAACAGTCTGCTTACAAATATGCCAGATCTGTATAATGATCTGCATTCAAAATTCAAGTTCTGGAATAAGACTTAAGTCCAGAAGTGAATAAACAACCAGAACTTTCCAGTGGAGCATACAGCTGGTGAATGCAAAGAAGAAGAAGAAAAAGAAATCCATAAAAGTATTTTAATTATCTGCCTTTGATCTCATTCATAAATATTTTCTTCAGTCACAGATTTTGTAAGGCACACATTAGGTTTTAAGACACAATAAGATGAACATGTAGGGACTAGTAATAAACTCACCTTACCAAATGATGACTGTGAATCTGTAACCATGACCAGACTGCAAGAACAGCAGGTTAAAAGGGGTGAGGCAGACAAAATCTCTATGCAAGAAGCCACAGAAGAATAACAAACCCAACACAGAACTGGTGTCGTCAGTCACTGCATATTGCGGGATAGACTGAGGAGGGGATCCAAGCACCTATGAGCTGAATGGTTTGATGTGCAACAAGGATAATCTGTTGACTACTAACTAATTAACTAATAAACTAACCTTATTCTTGAGGAGCCCCTTGCTACCCAAAACTTCAGTGAAGATGTGTTTGCCAACATGTGAATCAACAGCACTCAGAGGGTCATCCAGAAAATATGTGTCAGCTCCACTATAAACAGCTCGAGCTAAAGACACACGCTGCTTCTGACCTCGAACACAATAGAGAAAAAAAAACATCACCATTGGCAAACTTCAGCTTGACATTCCTACAAGTCATCAATATCAAAGGAAAAAAACTGGCTTAGTAAAGTAAATTTTGATACTTCAACCATACTGAACACCTTCATCTACACCAGTGGTCTCCAGAAAGTAGGGGAGAGGGGGGGGGGGGCATGAGAAAGTTCCAAGTGGGTGTCTAGCAATTTTGAAAACGTGTACATGTGTAATTGTAATAATCTGTTATACTAACATTTTCCCTGTACTTGTAATAATCTGTTATACTAAAAATTGTCCCTGTACTTGTAATAATCTATTATACTAACATTTTCCCTGTACTTGTAATAACCTGTTATACCAACATTTTCCCTGTACATGTAATAATCTGTTATACTAAAAATTGTCCCTGTACTTGTAATAATCTATTATACTAACATTTTCCCTGTACTTGTAATAATCTGTTATACCAACATTTTCCCTGTACTTGTATTAATCTGTTATACTAAAAATTGTCCCTGTACTTGTAATAATCTGGATCTGTGTAATAATCAAAGGATCACTCAGTCGGATTTCCTCCACACTCAAGTAGTCAACAGAACTCGGAGATCACAGGTGAGAGAGAGCCTTGTCTGGATCTTTTCTCCAGGGCATGCTGGTGTGTTGAGAAATGAACAAGTGGACAGACTCTGGCTCTGCACAACTTGATGCATGATAAGGCAGACGTGGATAAGACTTTATAGAATGGTTGTGTGCAGTTCAAAGGAGCAAATGGGTCACCACAGTCTGGTGAGAGTGATGCAGGGGATCTGGTCTATACTTGATGCTCAGGGGAAAAGCAAGGCAGACATATAATGACAGACTACTACTGGCACCTATTGGTATTGGGACTCTGTGCTGCGACCTGCTGACAGATGGGGGATGGAGCACTTAGGGGAATGCTTCCAAGTGCTGTCGGAGGTCAGTTGAGTTGAATCAACTTAACAGAACACGCAAAATAAGCAGCATGTTACAGGAATGCACTTAATAATCTGTTGACCTTTTCACCGATTTCAGTGACATCTTGGGCTGGCAGAATCTCAATGTCAGGCTGAAGAGCGCAAGCTTGGATAACTCTGTTGTACTGGCTGTTGGAGAAAGCTTTTCCAAATGTAATGTTGTCTCTCAGAGTT